GTCGAGAGGTGTGCACTTAGTCACATCTCAAACTATAGCAGAAGTTAGGGCGAAATATCGAATCTACAACCAGAAACCGCATCACCGTGAACAGACTTGCGTCTACCGTTTAGGGGGTGAAGACGTATGCGCCTTATCGAAGGGTGACTGGCACTGCAGAAGAATTAAGCATCCGCATTCATCGATTTGAAAAGTTAGAACCCTCTTCTTTTCATAAAGGCGAAGGGGAGGCAATAGCGGAACAGGATTTTCCTATTGTTAAGATACCAAGTCCACCCTATGTTACACATCTGCCTCCCTCAGCATCAACCCCTCCCTCTCAGTTTCGCCATCAAAGTCAAGCAGCCTGCGTCGTTTCATTTTCAGCCGAGGGCTCTTTCTGAAGCCCAGTAAAAACTTCAAACGGAAGGGCTCCAGAGTAACGCCGAGATATTGGATGCGAGTGGTGAACCGATATATTCTGTTGCGATCTCTGTATTTCATAAAAGCCCAAAGTAAATACTTCACTCCCCACCACTCATCCTTTCAACTGATTTGCATGACTTCAAAGGACATGATTCCTTACGTAGGATCCTCGGTGGCTGATCAATTACCTCAAATGCGCAGTCTCCCCTGGATTCAACAACCTTCTTGATTCGTTGCTAATGCGGACGCGTCAGAATGAGAAACTTTTGCTTTTGTGGTTTAGAATGTTACCATTCGGCTTCCAGCAATAGTAATACTAACCTTTGACTGTCTCTGTGGTGTAGTGGTCAGAGTTCCTGCCTACAGATCCAGAGGTCCCGGCTTCGATTCCCGGCGCTACCAGATTTTCTGACATGTAGTGAGTCTGGAACGGGGTCCACTCAGCCTGGTGAGGATAATTGAGGAGCTATTTAAAGAAAATAACGGCTCCGGTCTATAAAACCGAGATTAACGGCCGTGGAAATCAGTTGCGCTGACCACGCGACGCCTTCCATCCGCTAAAGTTGACACTAACTTCTCAGACAGGCGGCGGACTACGGGCCACGGATTTCTTTAATATTAACTCTTAAAAAAGTTGTGGTTACTGCATGTTCAAACTCCCTCAACGTTCTGAAAGCCGACAACACGTTGTTATATCTCAGATGATAGAACTGTTCATAATCATATTATTGGAATTATGACAACTCTTCGCAGTTCCTCAACGTAGAATATTATGTGAAAATAAAATATTATCGTTGTTTTTAAGGTACCTGTTTCGGTACTTACTGTGGAGTTTTCAGCTGAAAGGGAAACGAAGTACGCAATTCATCGACGGCTAAAATGTGTTTCAGACGCGGTTAGCTGACAGAGTACAGACGTAATGAGTTACAGTACTGGACAGTAACACTGTGAACACAGTCGATGTATNATATGTGCTGTGCGTAGAGAAATTTTAAGCACAGTTGTTAATATATATATATATATTACATGCTTTTATCTCTTCAAACTCTGTATTACGCCGCTTCTGACTTATATTCAGGAGGTGTTCCTTTCGAATCCCGACTAAGGCACCAACTACACTGACTCAGTGTCTAAAGCCATATTACGGGATAGCGTTTCTAATTAGGCGGCAATCGCATCTTTCCATGTTATTTCCAATTCATTCATGTGTCAAGCTGTAATACTATATACTGTCACGAGTATTAGTGGCTATAGACAGGTTTTGGATTGGTGAATCGATTTATTGAACACTCACAGGTCGAAATTACAATTAACCATAACAGTCTCACTGGTTTACACACTCTAAAGACTATTGTAATTATAGCACACAAAGCCTTCTATATCTGCTTCCACTAGTCATTGCTGGGTAAGGAATTTCAGTTGATTAATACTTTAAAGCTTAACTGTGAGCTCTCTTACGAATGAATCAATCCCGAATGACGGCTCCCTTGCGAATGAACTCTCGAATCAATTACGTGTGCCCTTTTACAGCTTCAAGACGAACCGAATATAGATCACCATCTCAAACAGTTCCGCTCTTTTATTCTGTGTTTATCAGTTGTTTCGAAACGTGCCTAGTGCCTTACTAATTTCGTAGCGAGTATGCATTGTCTAAAATGGATTATTCCTCCTTTTAGGCGATATGTCACAAAATTATTTACATAAGCGAAGCAGAACTGCATTACAGTGAGCAGCAGATTCCTTCATCACAAAAACCTGTACGCCTGATGATGGCCAGTTAGGGCGGAACATGTTGTGACAGTGAAGAGAAAAGGACGAGAGAATACTAACCGACGTGGCACATAGACGGAAAGAAAAAAGTGGTACGCAAAGTCAGATCTAAGCAATGCAACAGGAAGCTGCAATTTAATATTATAGTTTTAATCTAATAAATTTTTAACGAAGAAATGATGTGTTTTCTGCGAGGTATAAACTGATATTTTAAGTATTACCCAGATGAGTGTCTGGCTTCAAAGGTTTAAGAGGACATACGAATGTTTCATTACACCCATATGTAATCATATTGTTTGCTTAGGGGCACGTACTCTTTTACAGAAATTTGACCTTGAAATAAGACAGGAAGCGGAGCTAGGGCAGGCAAAGTCACTTCCTGTTCGATAGTTTATATATAATTATTTGAGGCAGCATCAATTTTGTATGGAAAAACTAGACTTAAATTGCACCACTGCTATGCAGCTGTTCACGGAGGATACTTCTCAGCACAGACTTGTGGCTCGCGTGCATCCGGATTGTTATGGTGCATAATGCAAGAACAATTTCGTCGCTACAAAGTCGCAGAAATTAACGCGCTGCTGAACTGTGTTTTGTGCGCATGATCTGCGAGACCATGCAACTGTAAACTGTCAGAAGCCCTCAGTGTTTTGTAGTGCAAGATATCTTTTTAAACAGTGAGGGATATAAGAAGCAAAAGTGTTTGTTACAAAGACATATATCTACATATGTAGCCCGCCATCCGACGTTTCGGAAGACCATGTCACCTCCATCTTCAGAGTCGAAGTATAATCCATGCAGGAAATCAGCATGAAGCAAGTAGCAAGCAGGGCCACTCTATTATACCCGAGAACATAGAACCGTTCGTAATAACCATTGTAAGAACCTCAAATCCTACATGATTTTTCAATATGGGCTATTACTAACTCCATTTCTTAACTTTCTAAATTGAACACAAATAGCAGTTACTTGCTTATTAAGTCGAAACCATACACCAAAACAATGTTATGTGGTATATTTAATCTGCTATAAATTACACGTCATTAAGAAACACTCGTATAATTGTGTACGTATTTCATGAAAGAGGAAAGTTTCTTTATTATCTTCCGTAAAGATGAACCTATTACGATATATAAGAAGAATGATTTGTTCAATTAAAGCTTCAGTAATTTTACGAACGTCTTCGAAGTTCGTTTGAAATATATAGCATTGAAGAGAATACTGTGAGTTTAGCCCCGAAGGACGAACGTGGGAACGCACAAAAATAGTCCAAAAACTCTTAAAATCGAGTTATATTTTGAGTTAGAAGACAAAAACCATAATTATAATACTCTCCATAGTCACTGCCGTGAGAATGTCTCATCTCACAAAACATAATTTTAAGGAACTCGGTGCCGAGTATTGTTATAATCTGAAACGTATTCTCTGTATTTGTAATAATTTGAATGAAATATTCTCCTAAACATCTATAACTTCAAGTTTTGGAATAAAAATTTGAAAATCTTTTTCTAATATTTGAACGGAAGTGAAGGAAAAGGTAAGGTAACGTCAATTATTAATCGAAATTTCACGAACCAATGCAAGAAGACGGTGACAACTGTAGTCAACCTCAACGTATACATATAATAGACATAGTCACATTCTGAAGGTATTCAGTATAACTCTCTCTGATGTAAGAATAACGCGAATTTTAAGTTAAAAATATCCACGAACATTTTCCATCTAAGTGAAAATAAGTTCTTTCTTAATTTCCTACACTTTATTATTCCTGCCTTATCTTATGAGTATTTAACACGTGCCGATGATGATTTGGTTATCCATACGATACAGTAGCTAATTATGGTCCTTGAACAAGGGAGTAACATCCTTTCCTCTAGATTCTATTGTGCCATATAATCGCTTTGTTGCAACTTATCTGTTAAGTCTCAGTATCACATGCAATCGAACTCAAGTGCCGCAGGCACGCAGTAAAGTTAACTAACGTCATAGAGCACTGAATTTCTCGAGAAGCAAATAAGCGCTCAGGTGTTTGAAGAATTACTAATCTTTTACTGAGCCCGAAGGCTTATTACCGCGTTCACAAGCGCTTGCAACTGGAGCCGGTAGTGACCAAGCTGAATCAAGCCCACACGCTCACCCCAATTTCTATAATCAGGTTCCATTGTAATATTTTCTCCCATCTAAGCCTAAACATCTGAAGTTTCCCTTCCCATGCGGTTTAGCGACTGAAATGGATTCATCTGTCTTATTCACCAACCATTTTCTATATTTATTCTTTTCCTCATTCATTCACCCTAATATAATTTGCTGAAGTATATACTGTTTTCCTGAGAACACTAACCAGCATCCCTCCATCTGTCACTGAAAACTTAACGTTCAATTGGATCATTAATGCAAATATTTTTATTTATGGATTTCGTCGTTTAAGATATTTTTCAATTCTGTTTAAGAGTTTCGAATTTTGTTTAGTTCCCTCGTACTTTCAAAAATACCCCAGCTAAAATTATTGAATAACAAACCGGAACGAATATATCATATTTTCTTATATACGAGTGTTGTAATTATGCAACACTAGGGAAAAGAAATTTTCAAAACTGTAAATGCAGTACGCGAAATACGTCAGGAAAGGAGAAGTAGCACACGAGTTAATTACTGACAATTCGCAATAAATTTTCACACCTTAAAATTTGCTACAATATTTTGCAATGACGGGTCACAGAAGTCGCGTTTGCATCCTATCTACAATGAAACCATTTTTATGATAACTGTACAGAAGTTATGGTAATAAGTGGGGAATTATTCTCATAGTGAATGTTAATACTTACTGGCTGGCCGCTCTAATATGTCGTCACCGTTACGTGTGCACTGACCATGCCAATGAGAGGTCTCGTAAACTCAGGGTGAAGGCGGAAGGGAGCCGATTCACTGTCAACCGAGAAGCACAGAAGCACGCAGTTGACTGAGTTCAGCGCGATGGCACTTCCCGCGCTTTAGTACCTCCAGGGCGTTCGCGCGTGCGCATTTATGACGGAACTCATTCCAATGCCTTTCATGGGAGGGGTTGGTGAAAACACCATTTTTTTTCTATTCTTTCCTTCCTCCTGACCTGAAAATCCATTCAGCTCTTTCGTTATTCTTTTCCAAGTTATTTTCTGATTAGGAAAGGAAAGATTCCATAAAATACTGCATGGATTTACGATTTCGTATGTTATTTCGCACTGTTGTCTTTGGAACATCTTATTCGGTTTAATCTTATTTGGAATAGAGATACTGGGCGAAATGTTTAGAGTTGGTCAATGTTCCACCTAGATTCGACATTTCTAACATTTGATTATGTATTGTGAAAATTTTTACCGTAGTTTCAGGACTAAATATTGTTTTGGAGCGGGCTAGAATTCGGGACACGGGTTACAATTTGGACAGAAAGATAGTCAAATACTGCCGCTCTATTTCTAATTCACGTTGCTGGTGAAGATCTGAAGAATTATGACGTAACACTTATTCTACAATTTTATTTTCTGTATGTCGTTTTATAAATTATAACCATTCGCACTCTGCTTATCAGTTTGCTGGTTTACCTGCAGCTCGTTTCATTCCTCTCTGATGTTTTTACTTCTTCATTCACTTACTCGTAGCTCTGCAAGATTGGTAGTCACTGCAGCTTACAATCTTCCTTTGTTCCTGTCATTTAAATACAACTCTCTTTCCCTTTTATATATTATAGAAAGTAAAAACCTTTGTGAACTGTTTTGCGAGCATCTTTATTCCCCTTGATCTTTTAAGTCTTTTTCCTACTCTTAAACACATTTTGAGAAATATACAGATTTCAAAGCCCCGCCGAATGAGAACTGAACTATTACAAAGGAAATTAATTTCACCTGCCTTACGTAATTTAAACATGACAAAACATTGAGACTTCGTACGTATCTTTATAGAAATGACTTTGCTTGAAATGAATTAAAGCGAAATATCACAAAACAAGAGTGTGTTTCCATGAAAAATGGATTCCTCCAGGTTTACAACATGCAAAACCACAAGAACCCTTATATTTGATAGTCGTTCTTATATTGACCCACATTTTCCTTACAAAACTTAAAAAGAGTTCACTAGTGGACGAAGATGGCTCCATCTGTTGTCAGTGCAGGAAGCGTCTTTGTATTCTCAAAGGAACTTCTGCTATACTAAAGTGTATCCCTTCTGGGATGACGATATTTCTTGCTCCAAGAGATTTTATTTCGAATCGAAGTGTCTCAGACACACAGTGCATTGGCCCTTACCTTTGAAAGCAGACATTAATAAACGTGCACAAGGAAAGAGTAAATTTACGAAATGTATAATATTACAATAAATACTCTTGGGTGAGTTTCTTTGTGGATTATTTTAAGAATATGTCAGTAGCTAGACTACGTACAAAATTGAGTGGTAGAACGATAGGTGAATGATGAATCAAAAAGATTCTGAAATGCAGCGGTCTTAGCCTAAATTAAAATACTATCACGGAATTTTTCTCAGGGGAATGTGGAAAACAAGGAAAGGCCTATGTTCCGATGTTTTGGCCAAGATTCGAACTGAGCACCATCCGAATACGAGCCTAGAGCAGGGATGATATTGTCAAGATTTATGTGTGTGCCTAGAGACGGGGCACGTATTGGTGAATGGCTAGGAACTACAAGCAATACAGTGCCATAGTTATACTCCACATTTTACAATTCACTACAGCAGAAGCTAAGAACATTCCAGCGTGGCATGTCCAGCCGTTCACTGTCAACGGCTTCTAACAATGTAAATTTTTCATTTTTCCGCCCTCTGGTCCTTTTGTCAAAGCCGCCCGTGCAGAATTCGTGTCAATCTCCTTAATCCCTGGAACTCAACTGACTCTGCTTATAACATTTCGACACGAACAACATAGAAAACAGTTTCCTTTGTTATAATCCAACAACAACTGACCGTTGCATGTGTATCCGTTGCCGCGGGAGCCTGTTTATTTTTCTTGTTTTACTTGATGACATATTTCAACTCATCCTGACCAACTTACAACACTGAATACTTACATTACTGAGGCTCTTGAATTGGAAAAGCTGTTGAAGGGAGCTGTCGTGGCCTATATCTTAGTACTATCCCAGAATTTAGCTGGGGGGGGGGCTGAGGAAAACAACGAAAAGCTTGAAGAAAGCAGTCTTCTGGGATTTGGCACCGTGTATATGTGGTGTTAACTGACGTTTCGGAGGAATGTATCGCCTCCATCTTCAGGGTAGAAGAAAAAATATAAGAAATCTGCAAGCAAAGAGACCGTGAGAACCGGTAAAAGCAGACTGCACAGTTCCGGTTAAGATTCGAACTGAGCACCTCAAAAATATGACCCTAGAGCGGGTACGATATTCATATTTGAAAGTTTATTCAGAATGAAAAATTATTAAGCGTAGATTACTCCTGCTTTACTTAATGACACATTTCAAATTACTCATATCGATCAGACATGTAATAACTAATTGGGGAATCGAGCCTGTTGAGTTAGAAACTCTGTGGAAGGAAATGGTCACAGACTATTATAAGCAACTACGGCTGCATATAACTGCATACCCTGAGGAAAGCAAGGAAGAATATAAACCTGTGTATTTAACCTCCATGCCGAGCACCAATGACTTTTTCAGGACGCTCTTAAACGTAGAACTTGAGGGAAAACTTCGGTTCAAATTACAAGAATTTAATGGCCACACCCCAGTATACAAGTATACGCTACATGAGCAGTAGTATTTCTCTAACTCATTATCATTGGGTAACTGTATCTTTTAAAATACCTTTGTAACATGCATACCGCCTGCTTCAACTTTCAAAGCTCAATATTCCGTCCTCACAATGTGTTTCACTTGAATCTCAGAATAAATCTCATTAATTCATTGTACATTAGAAAGGAGGATAAATATGTTTTCTTTGTAAGGTTAACTAAATTTTTAAACATTATTTAGATTAACTTGATGCTTCCAAGAGTTAAAACAATTGTAATATATTTCTCACACATAGATGTAAGCAAATATCACATCAGCATAATTTTTCTGGTATATTTCAAACGACCTTTTCTTTTTCTGGCAGTTTCATTTTCGAGGCTGGGTTTATATTTACTCGCCTTACACTGTACAAACGAACGTTTCTTGCTGTGTGTAACGTTGTGTTGCAGAATGCCACGATCCAATGATTAGTACTACTGCTTAGCATCTGAGAGATCTAGGGTTTGTATTACTTCCGCAGGGTTTCTGCCTTTCTAGAAGGTTTTGTAATTTCCTTAGTCTTTCCGAACGTTTATAAAAAAAACTGCACCCTTCATGATTATTTTAATTCTACCGAAATTAAACATCCTCTCATATCTATTGGAACTAATTAACGGCTGTTCTTGATGGAACGTCGATAAGACCCTGATGTCCATTTGATAGGAGGCCTCATGACTCCCACAATCGGTCTGGAGGACGTGGAGAGGAGAAAAATTTGCCCCTTCCGGGACTCGCACTCCGAGCCGTCCAGGTCGTAGCCTTTCGCTATACCGACTGAGCTATCCCGGCCCCTAATATATGATACAGTGTTACTTACTTACTCATGGAGCTGAGCCCTTCTGGAGGAGCAGCCAAATCTGCTCAAGAATTTCCCAGCATTTAATGGAACCCGAAGATTCATTCCCGTGTTCACAAAAGCCCTCCACTGGTCCCTATCTTGAGCCAGATCTATCCAATCCATACCAATCCATCCTATCTCTCTAAGATCCATTCTAAAATTGTCCACCCACTTACGCCTTGGTCTTTCCTGTGGTCGCTTTCCTTCTGGCTTTCCCACCAATATCCTATACGCATTCCTCTTCTCTCCCATTCGTGCTACATGACCTGTCCACCTCATACTCCTTGACTTGATCATTCTAATTATACTTGGAGAAGAGTACAAGTTATGAAGCTCCTCATTATGCAGCTTTCCCCAACCTCCTGTCTCTTCATCTCTCTTCGGTCCAAATATTCTCCTCAACACCCTGTTCTCAAACACCCTCAGTCTATGTTCCTCCCTTAATGTCAGAGACCAAGTTTCACACTCATACAGAACCACAGGCAAAATTATAATTTTGTATATTCTAATTTTTATGTTTTTGGACAACAGACGAGAAGACAAAAGGTTCTGGAATGAATGGTAGCAAGCATTACCGGAGTTCAATCGCCACTTAATTTCCTCTTAAATCAGGTTTCGATCGTTGTTCCCAAATATCTGAACTGTGCCACATTTTCAAAATATCTGTTTCCTATCTTTATATCATGATTTTGCCCTGCATTTTGGTGACGAGACAGTAACATATACTTAGTTTTCTTTGTGTTTACTTCTAGACCAATCTTTTTGCTTGCGTCAATTAAAGTTTGTGTGTTTTTCTTTATGGTATCTACATTATCACCCAGTAGATTCACATCATCGGCATAGACCAACAGCTGATGATATGATACAGCGTTGCCAATTAAGACGTTGAACTACAAGATGTTACGTGAATCAAGATACTGGTGAAGTCATTGAAAGATACTTCCTGTATCACATCCTGTTTCTTAAAATCCATTTCAATAAATCCTCTGAAATATACTTACTCTTCAGGATTCCAGAATAAACTGTCCTACGCATTTCACATTTCCTCTTACGCGCTACATCCCCAAACAAACCAATTCTCCTTTATTTTATAGCCGTAATAACAATAATATTAATACAAAATATGAATCTCTTCATTATGCAGTTTTCCCAAGCAGCATGTTTTTTTCTCTTTCCTCAGGACAGAATAAGCTTATCATTTTTTCCAATTTATGTTCTCCTTTAGAGTAGGAGACCAAGTTGTACAACCATACAAAACGGCAGAATATATTTCGTCTAGAAAGTTCCTTATATTTAGATTTCAGAATGTCTTTACGGCAAAACATTACGAAAATGAGATACACGTATATGTATTGAGGAGTAGACCGGATA